CGAAAACGTCTCTGCACCAGCCTTGCCCCCTTGCCTTGAACACGCATTTTCCATACCTGACCTTACCTCCCATCGGGTGCGGATACTCCGCATATTTTCTGCTTGAATTGGCACGCTGCGTAACTTTGGAAATTCCGGCTTCCTGCTAGCTTTCTTGCTGACAGCAGTTGTACGCCACCTTTCCAAAGTGGCGGAAGATGACTAATCAACAGTATATGCTTGTCGAACTTACGCCTTATATGAGTATTTCGGAGAACTTCCGGACTTCATTGGTGTTTGGGGGAGGGGGGCGAATGTTCGCATTGCAGGTTTGTGTTAATCAGACGGAAGCGACGGAGGCGACGAAGAACCTTATCCGACACCAAGTATCATCCCTCCTTATGGCTCATCGACTGCGCGAAATGCGCCCCAAAGAAAACTGATTAATACCGCCGAACAGGATGTTCCACCGCACTGAAGCAGGTGCAGACATTGGTCAATCGAAATGTTTTCGTAAGAGCTGTCATTTACTAATTCTTCAGGCGAAAGTAGAATGGGCCTTGGACAAGGAAGAAGGCGTGTCGAGCACCAGATCAATTGATTTATTGTTCTGATATTTCGAACTCTTACAGGAGTCCTTCTCTGAAGATGGACTCCTGTAAGAGTTCGAAATATCAGAACAATAAATCAATTGATCTGGTGCTCGACACGCCTTCTTCCTCGTCCATGCAAATGCCTGAATCGCGAACCTTCTCATTCATTTGAGAATGGGCCTTATTCTTTACTGGAGAATTCCAAACTGACAGGCATATGTTTCCTACTCCTCAACACCATCCGATGTACTTTGAGTTACCGTAAACTACCCCAGCTATCACACTAACTGCAACAAAGCGAACATGAAAAACCCGATTGGATCGTTGAACACCAAGAGGGAGAGAGATAGAATTAAATCCCATAATGAGTTCGCAGAATGCAACTCTTGCTATGGACTGCCTCAATAATATCCTCATGACACCGTTTCTTAGTCAGATGAAAAGTCAGATGCAAAATGGACCTCGGAAACTGGAAACGGAGGTGCACTTCATGGCCGACGGAAACGTGAATTTTGTCCAGAACTTTCTATACGGCGTACATATTCGTGCATCTACGATAAATATCTAACTATCTACTGTGTTTAACTGAAGAGGAACTTGATGGGCAAGCGTGGAGAAAGTGTTTTAGAGCAAGGCTTTTTGAGCTCGCTCCGAAATTAGATCTGAATAGTTGAGCTGGAATTCATTAGCTATGGTGGAATAAATGCACAATATTCACAGGCTTCCAACGGGCCGTCCGTAATACAAAAAATTATCGATCGTTTACTAGACGGACTGCATAGTTATTAGCTAAAAGCCCAGCTACGCCGTTTTCGACGCTCTTGTGCTGCTGCATAGCACAGCTGCGAGGCCGTCGGCTCATCATCGGGTACCCTAGCGTCCCCCATCTGTTCTCAGGCAAATAGACTCCACGAATTAAGGTGAATGTTCGTATTCCAGGTGTGTTTATATAAGTAAAGAAGAACAGGAACAAGAAGAACAAGAAAGAAGAAGAAGAGGAAGAAAAAGAACAACAAGAAGAACAGGAACAAGAAAAAGAACAAGAAGAAAAAGAAGAAGGATGAGCAGAACAAGAAATAAGAACAGGAACAAGAAGAATAGGAAAAAGAAGAACAAGAACAAGAAGAACAGGAACAAGAAAAAGAAAAAGAAGAACAGGAACAAGAACAAGAAGAAGAAGAAGAACAGGAACAAGAAAAAGAACAAGAAGAAAAAGAAGAAGGATGAGCAGAACGAGAAAGAAGAACAGGAACAAGAAGAAGGAGAACAAGAACAAGAAGAACAGGAAAAAGAAGGACAAGAACAAGAAGAAGAGCGAGAAGGACGGGAACAAGAAGAAGAACAAGAAGAAGGAGAAGAAGAACAAGAACAAGAACAAGAAAGAAGAACAGGAAGAACAGGAACAAAAAGACGAAAAGGGCTTTTAGCTCCACATCACCCCCTAATTCAATGTCCCTCACAGTCAGGGTGAGAACGCATATCAGGCGTCGGCGGATTGGTGCAACTTAATTAAACAAAGAGCAAACCCATCTGGTTTAGGAGCGTCGAAGAGAACGGGAGCATTTAATTTACTTCCACTACAGCTGCAAACTTCCAGGAACCCAGTAAGCCTAAAAGTTGAAGACAACCTTGCGTTTTATTGATTAGCTTGAAGGCAGACTTTGTTATTAGTAATGCATTCTGGCAGAACTTTGCAAAATGCAGCTTGCGTCCGGCGCTGTAGGCGAGTTGGTTTCCCCACGCCTGCCATAGCGAAACTACAATTGGACCCTCGCCCCTCGACTCACTCATTTCCATATTGCTATAAAAAGTGTACTTCTATGAAAGGCAAAGCAGTTTACCGAGTCTGGTTTTCATCTAGTTTCTTTTTTTCTAGTAACAACGTCTCCTCACGTACATAAATGCAGAATTTGCAAATTTTGACCACCCGAGGTATCAGCACCTTTTCGTAAAACGAAACCGGGTCGGTGCGATTCATTTCGTGAAGAAAAAGAGGTCTTTTCGTCCGTCGGATTCATTTTTTATGCATCCTCTTGGATCGCGCATAAACGAACACAAGCTGACTGTAAGACGGGCTGATGGATTATCACTAGAGGCTGTCCACACTTACGAAACGGGACCCTTCTCCCTATAAATGTTGCTTAGTTGAGAAGGAGATGATTCGATCGCTGGGACTACACTTTAATTCGCCTGACGTTTCGATATCCATCGCGGATTCTTCATCAGAGACATCAGCAGAAAGCAATAGCAGAAAATCGTTTCTGTCCCAGCGATAGGATAGTCTTCTTCTCAATTACTTCCTGGTACTCGCACGTCCATTTGTGTTGTTGCTTGATTTTTTCGCAGCTTTCATGTCTGACGATGGACTCCAGTAAGAGTTCGAAAGTTCAGAGGAATAAAGCCACGTGTCCGGCAAACAATTGGCCTTTTTATTGGTGTATTGCTTAACCTGAAATTATGCTCAATTTTTATCAGTCCGGAAATCTTAATTGAGCAGCTTCTTTACTGTTGTGGTCAGGAAATGCAGTAGATGAATATACCCGACGTCTTACGAGCTTCTGTGATTATGGCAGAATTTAGTTGACCCAATTGTGAAAAAACTCACGGGTTCGAAACCCGCCGAATGCCGCGAGATTTTTCACAATTTGGTCAACTAAATTAACCAAATCTGCCAAACCAACTTAATAATTAAGTCAGTCTAGTAGTCATTTTGGTGGATTCTAGATGATTGCCTAGGAAACCCCGCTTGGGCAGTCATCTGGTGGATTCTAGATGATTGCTCAGGAAATCCTGCTTGGGCAGTCAACTTTCTGTCCCGCATTGGTGGATTCCATGTGAGCGGCAAAGTTGGGCGGGTAATATGGATCCAAGGGGTGGATTCTAGATGATTGCTTAGGAAATCCTGCTTGGGCAGTCAACTTGGGTGGATTCTAGATGATTGCTTAGGAAATCCTGCTTGGGCAGTCAACTTGTCCCCGTATTGGTGGATTCCATATGAGCGGCAAAGTTGGGCGGGTAATATCGATATAAGTGTGATTAAACTCACGGTTTGATGCTGACATCGTAGCTCAAGTGGGTAGAGCGTGGCTTGCGTAAAAGGCCTCCCTCCTATGTGGGTTCGAATCCCGCCGAATGCCACGAGATTTTTTCACAACTGGGTCAACTAAATTAACAAAATCTGCCAAACCAACTTAATAATATGGCAGAATTCTGGTAAAAGTGGGAGCGGTCTGCCAGCGATAGCCTCTAAAAAAGACACACCGAAGTGTATTTTTAGGTCATCTGTGTCTCTATTTGAGAGACATAATAATACCGGCACAAGCGTCTGGAGTCGTTTATCGGACCTGCTGTGGTTTCGGACAGATAAATTACGCCGGAGAAGCTGGAATACTAGTCTGGACGCGAATTTTCGAACACGCGGCAACAGAGCTAAAAGGTGACGTCACTTTTAAATTTACGAATCATTTGATGAGCCTCGGCCACACAGTCATGTTCTATGAGACCC